AGATCAGATGTTGAGTGGGAGAACCCTTTCCGTCGAACAGGGTGAAGTGATCAGGTTGAACTTCTTCGAATACGGGATCGACTTCCACTCTCTTGGGTAAGGACACGAAATACCAGTCTTCTTCACCTCTTGAGCAGACATCAGAGCGTTGATTTTGTTCTCGAGGTCTTTCATCTTTTCGTCCTCATCTGTATCATGTTTTGGACGATTTCTAAGAGGAACAACGCGGCCAACCCTGATATTGTCAGATTCGGTGGGACCACCCCCAGCATTTTGATCAGCCGGAGGGTTGTCTTCATCGAGGTTTTCGTCCACATTTGAACCGCTACCTGCTTGGATAGCAATGTTGCAACGGCTGGATTCACCAAGTTGATTGGACAGAGCCCGAATCTGTTGGTCATGCTCTTCCTTCATCTACATCATGGTCATTTCTAATTCAAACTTGAAGTTCTCTTTTTGCTTAGCCAAATCATCCTCAATGATTTTTACCATTTGCTCTATGTTGATCATAAGTGCGTCGCGGGATTGTCCTGGACTGGATATCGTATTGTCAGAAATGATTGAAGAGTTGGCATCTGATGCTTCATCATCCGAGGATAATCCCCTATGCATTCTTTAATAATTCCTTTGTCTAATGGTGCCCGATCGCAATCGGGTTAGACGATGTGATATGAGCGGGTCAGAACTAGAAGGTCGAGTTGACTTTCCTCTATCATCCATGTTAATTGTGGCTTTTTGGAAGTTCGTAATCTCGATCGGTTGATCGTTTCTTGCGGAAACGTCTTGGCTTAGTATTCGATGCTTCATAGGAAAACCTTTAGAATATCGAGACCCTCTGTGGAGCGGTTTTGGGATAGCTACACGCTGATAATACTGCCCTGATAATTTTGGTATACGGATAGTAAGAGTCCGTCTCCCGGGTACTTCTCTTTCGAGATTTGTTCTTACCCCCAGCCTGATAGTACAACTCATTAGCATGAATGCCATAGCAACCTATCGTATGCTGGCATAATTTTCCAAGTGTAACATTATCATCATCAGACGAATACGTTTCCTTCTGGGAATTCAACGCTTTGTTAGCGTCTTCGAGAGTCACACATTTGGAGTTACGCTTTTGTGAGTGCGGGACTCTAACGGGCTCTTGGACTTCGACTCGCAGTTAATGCGGTCGGTTACTAGAATTTTCCCTTTATGAGAAGGCTCAGACTTGTTGCAAGGGCGAGTGTGACCCCCAGCTCGACGAGTTGCTAGGGGTTCATTCATCGTGCCCAAGCGTTCTTTGGTTGGAGCTTTGCCTTGATCCTCGTACAAAGGACCTAGGCATTCCGCTATTGCTTTCCTGCCTCTGGATATGTCCATACTATCACGGAGCTTCACCGAAGGTGAGGGATTAGCAGGAGTGAGATCTAAACTTGACGAAAGTTAGGAACCGACTTTGGATCTGGAATCGAGTAAGAAACAGGACTGGTATCTCTTGTCAGTTTGAAGCGCTGACTTGGCCTTCGGCATCCAAACCTGCTTAGATCTTGGTGGCCTTTTGAGCACCTCTTCTTTTTGTAATCCTTGTGCTTTATGTACAAGGATCCGGGAGTGTGCAAGAAGTGCGCGACACTTATGGATGCGCTCCTCGAGAGTAGAACGGGTTCGTTTTACACGAACCCATTTGTCAGTTGACGGTTGGGAGGAGGACCCCGATACTTGTTATGGCGGAGGCTTAGCCACTTGACGTCTCCTGGACTTTAGATCCGCTTGGTAGTGGAGCCTGTCCACTTACTCCAAAGCCTTAGCAAATTGGCGGGTGTAGCGACGCCTCTGACGAGCCCTCTTCGATAAAGTAGGCGCGCCTTCAGCAGTCAACTTCTTAATGGAGGTGGTGTCCGGATCTATGGCTTTGGCTTCAACGAACGCCAGTGGATCGTTGTAAGATGCAACTGCAGTGATGGTAGCGATGAGATCACCTTCTTGGGTCTTCAGATCTGAAGACCAGCGGATCTTCTGGGAGGAGGAGACCTTCCTGCACTGATGAGGAGATGCAGATCTAGAGGAGGAGGAGGATACGTACTCCTCAAACTATTATTGGTCAAACTCATATTCAACCTCTTCAGTCACGGGGATCTTGATCGTCGGCTGCGGCACGACAGTCTCGACAGCGAGGCTGTTGGCTCCCACTATGGTCGCTAGCTTGTTTGGTTTAGAAATTGCTTTCATTGACAAATTTATTACAACTTTGAGCGTTACAATAAATTCAAAAGAAATAGTCTTATAAGACTCTTACACAATGAAAATTTAAAAGTTACAATCTCCTCAAACAAACGCAACGGACATTTATCTCCCACTGCTTGCGTGTGATCTTTGCTTGTGATGAGGATGCTGATATCCGTGGACTACCAAATGATCAGATCGATCTGGAGCTTCATTGATTCGCGAAGGAATCAAGAAACCGAATCAATTTTCTTGGCAACAGTGAGATAACCACTCTTCTCGAGATAACCGCCACGGGGCAATCTCAAGGAAAAGAATCGAGAACTATAGATCTGATAAACTCTTCTTCTTTATATTGAAGAACTCGATCCAATCTCCTCCTCTCCTCTAAAATTCGTGCTCCTTTAGTCTTCAATTCAGTAGGGCTTCGCCGACGTTCGAAAATTCTAGATCTATACAAATGAAGGCCCTAGGCCTGTATTTATAGGCTTTGGGACCTCCGTTTTTGGATAAGAATGACCGATTCACTTTTATCTTTAATTATAACCATTTTATCACATTCTTGGATAATATTGGATCAGTTGTAAAAAATTCAGGTGGTTAACGATCGAAAAACTGCTCAAAAACAGCAAAAACAGCTTTTTAAGGTCTGGGACACCCGCGGTGTCTCGGCCACGGCCGACACTTAGGGTGTCTCAACCTTGGCCGAGACACCATGTGTGTCTCAGCCTTGGCCAAGACACTTGCGGCGTCTTCGCTAAGGTCCGGGGTACTGTTTCGCGCGTCCTGTTCGTTTTTGTCATATTTTCATCGTCCGAACTTGGAATTGCGCGATTCAATATGTTTTGGAAAGCTGACGAGAAGATCTACAAGCTCCCATAGTTGAAAGACATGTGGAGTAAACGTTAAAAGAGGGGCTCTTCGTGTTTCATAAAAGAAGCGTTGCTCCCGATCAGTTCGTGTTTTCGTTATTCTGAAGTTTTGTTACTTCACACAGTTCGTCGACTCACTTCATGCACTTATTGACATTAAATAAGCTTCTGTGACTCGGATAGTGATGTTCATCATCTTCTCTCTGTCTCGAGCCGCGTGCGGGAACCTATAGGCATTTTTAGACGCCTACAGTCACTATTTATTATGATAGCATGAGTGCTATTTATTTAGCGAAGAATCTTGTCTTTCATGCATCGACGTTCGATATCACTTTATTCGAGATGTTCTTGAAGATGGGGATGTGGAGCTCGTGAAGGTCCACACAAAAGATAATCCAGCGGATATGCTCACGAAGGTGGTCCCGAGCAACAAGTTTGATCATTGTAGAAACTTGTTGCAAATTCATGCTTGTTGAGGCCATTTGCGGCCATTTAGATGAACTACAGGCGGCTTGATCCATTAGGAGAGGGGGTACGTAGTAAACCACATTGGTGCAGCTGGATTTGGTGAGATGACGCATTGGTGCTCATGTTAGTGTCAGCTCAGTTTTCGGAACACGTTGCCGAGGTGGAGAATTGTCAAAAATGGTGAAGGAACGGCGAAGGAATCGTTGAGAAATGTGGAAAAACGTGCAAAATCAGCACTACTGGAAAGCCCTCAGGTCGGTCGACCGATAGCATAAGACTGGTCGACCGATCTTGTGCACATTACAGGGTTTGAAAACACTGCTCTGGTCGGTCGACCGATGCACTCTTATCGGTCGACCGATGGAGGTAGACCGGTCGACCGATAGAGGAGCACCAGTCGACCGAAAGCGGATACAGGCTGAAGTTGGTTTCCTAGTCTGTTTTGGACTGGGTTTTGATATAAATAGAAACACGTCTTTCTAGGATTTTGTACCAGGAGATTAACAGAGAATTAGCATTGTTTTGAACAGTTTTGTGAGGGAGATTATTATGAGGGAGAGTGAGATCATTGGTTAGGTTATTTTGAAAGTTATTTGAGAGATTGTAACCCAGTGTTTCTCCTCAATATAGTAAAATCTCCCCATCCTCTCCCCGTGGACGTAGGCAATTTGCTGAACCACGTAAATCTATGTGTTTTGCACTCGTCTTTGGTTCTTCTCTCATCGCTCACCGACTCGGTTGGTTTGCGAGCACGCTTCCGCACAACGCGCAACACTAACACGCAACACTTTTACTGAAATGACCTTTATTTTTAGTGCATAAAGTTTCAAACAAATGCCTTGGTTTATGTTTATAGGTACACAAAACCTTCCACAATGCAATGTTGCAACGTTGGTCTTTGCCTCCTTGAGTCTATTTCCGATGTTTCTTTGCGTCCTTTTCTTTCTCTATCGTCTTTTTTAGCTTAGCTGAATGTGCGTGTTTAGTGTGTTTATTTGACATTGCAATGTATCAATCCTGTATACTTTTTGACGTCTCCATATCTTATATGCGTATACTTTTATTGAAAAAACAGAATTAATCATGATTTACAAATCAAAACTTGGAAAGTAAATTTAATCCTAATTCCCATCACTAAATGCCTCTAGTACTAGTAAATTGTAATCAAGAAATTGCAAGTTAATTAACTCGGAACGATTTGCGCATATTAATATATATATATATACACACACTCACTCAATTTCAGAAACAAGCATCAGATTCTAAAATTTATCCCATATATTCATCCTAGAAATGAAAACTGAAATGAAAACTACTAGCATACACTAAGTAACAGTACCGCACAATAAAGATAACAATGCCACACAATATAGATTTAGCACCATGTTTAGTTGCCGCAATAACAAACAGCCTTGAGCCTCAAATACCGATTGGTAAACGCACAAATATTGTTCAGGCATCAGACCAGGTAATGTCGTAGTCCCCCACTTGAGACTCCGGTATATCCAACGCCTTCCACACCGCTGGGGATGCATCTACTATATTATTGGGGCATGGCGGTTGGAAGTCATGATCAGCATCGCAGCCGTGCACAGAATCGCACTCATCCACCACTTTGGCTCTCACCGACTTACCATTAGCGTTGATGTTGATGTAGTTCAAGCATCGGCTTCCTCCATTGTACCAGCCAGTTGATAATGCAACCACCTTTTCACTGTCGCTGTGGTATTTGTTGTCGCACTCAGACGGGCCTCCTCCATCACCACCCTTGGCAAAGCTGTTGATGGTCATCGTCGCACGGGTGTTGCTCGTGATTGGAGGAGAGCAGCGGTACTGAGGGTACATCTTACCTGCTTCGCAGCAGTCAGAGTCATTCTCTGTGTTGCAGTGGCCGGTCTTCCCTCGCAAATGCCCGCTGGCACGGCAGGATCCGACCATGAATCGATGCGAGGCTACGAGACTTAGGCTTGAGAGCGCTGCGAGCAGAGCAATAGCCATTATTGCTAATTGAGGAAATCTAGCAGTTGCCATCTTGCTACAGGTAAATGTTTCTAAAGTTCGTTGTGGTCTTTGCAATTTGAGCGCGTAGGGTTTTATAGCGTTGGAATAGCTGGAGGGGTAACGTTCAGAATGATGGCGTACGTTAGGCTTCTTGGCTAGCAAAGTTAACCACACGGCCATTTATCCACTTAGTTTGTTGTTTATCATCAGACTGCTTGCTTTGACCCTTCCCTCTCTCATTATAGGCTAGATCACACTATAGCATTTTGCCGTAAACTTTCAAAATCGCACTAAATCCCTAGTAACTTTTCTGTTTTACAAAAACCCCCGACAAGTTTCTATATTTTACAGGTAACTCCCATAAATTAAAACGAAAAAACAACACAAAAAGGCATTTTGAAACTTAATTACTAGGGGGTTTAGTGCAATTTAACCAAAAGATATTGGACCTTTTCTGCAAAAGTTATTGAGGGTTTAGTGCGATTTTGAAAATTCGTAGGGGTTTATAGCAAAACACAGAAAGTTCTTGGGGGTTTTGTGTAATTTACCCATCTCATTATTTATTTTAGAATTTCAGATGAATTTGCCAAACAACCAACACTAGCGGACAACCATATATTTGAAGAGATTTAATGAGTATGAAATCTGTCATACACAACAATGTGTGACACTATCAATCAAGTTGTTACGTACAATCAATCTGGAACGATATAATTATGTGCTTAACTTTTGACAATCCGCTTCCATATTTAATGGGAATGTAGCAGTTAAATTCGTACCTTAATCTGCTGGATACTAAGGCTGTAGACTTTCTATTTCAGCTATAATATCTTGTACTATAAAATGTTGTTAAAAACTGCAAAGGGATCAGTGTTAAAAAAACATGGTTTTATTATTTGCTTGGTCCAGGAGCTTTTAACGATTAATCGGATTACATGTTGATTAAGCAGATAACACAGGATTATGCGGTTTTGAAATTTTTAATATATATTTAATAATTTATTGTATTTTTAAAATATATAAAATTCATGAAAATAGAAAATATACTAAGAAAAGACCAATAAACATCCAATATAACAATCAATAACTTATTGACTACGTCAAAGTTTAATTCATACATCAAACCAACTATATACTTAAATAAAAGTCGATAAATTAAACATTTAAAACAAAACTAAGCATCCGTAAAAGAAAAACAAATCATCTAATCTTCCTTATCATCCTCATAATGAACATTAGCACCAACTCCTCCTTGGAGGGAATAGCGGAGGAGAGGACAAAGTTTATCTTTTGTTTTCTTTTTTTATTTGAGAGATGGAGTTTTGATGGAGCAAGAGTTTTGGTGGAGCAACCGTGATGTTTAGGGTTTTTTTTGGGAGTGTCGAAGGATGTTGGGCACCGACACGCCCACTCGTCGCGGAAGCGAATCACCTCGAGAGAAAGTCATGGCTTTTGTTTTCACAAAACTCAAGCTAACCTCGATGTTCCTGTTTGAATATGAAACAAGAACAGAAGTGAAATATCTCAGCGAGGTGAGATATACATCTTAGACCCCAGAGGGGGGTGATTAGGGTCTTATGCTAATTTAATCCGATTATATGCCAATTAAAACTAATTAACAAGTTATCCTAGCAAGTATGAAATATCACAAGATATATAAGCTAGGAAAAGCAATATGAACAATGAAATATATCCTATATGATGAAATATATATATGCAAGGATATATATAAACTAACACAAGATGATATATCCTACCAAAGAGATATACAGTATGATATATGCAAGGATATGAAAACTAACACAATGGGTAAACAATATGAACTAAATAGTGGATCATATAAAAAATGAGCTATGGACAATGGTGATATAAGATATGAACATAAATATAAATGAACGCCAAAGCACACTTAAACACACTATATGATCACGGAGTTCAGACCTTCCGTCCTACGTCTCCGCTCCCCACTCCCGGGGAGAAATCTACTATCACAACCGGGTTTTCTACGCTCACCCGAATAACCTTTACAACCACACTATGTCGGTTTTTAACGATCACCGATCAACGTCACTCCTCACACTCGGTTTTCTAATTCACCGAAAACTTCACAACACACTCAGTTTTCTAGCTCACCGAAAACCTTACAATCTCACAATGTAACAAATATAAATTTGTTCCCTACAATAGATGAGAACACAATGAAGCACAACTCAATGTTACAATCTCTCACAACCCTAATATACTATGTATGCAAATACAATAAGCTCAAGTGGGTGTGTGTAACAATGAGATATAAATCAAAACTAAACTCAATAACGACACTAACAATAGATTGATATGAAATACAATAGTAGAAATGCTAGGAAAATAGAGTTAAGGAAACTTCTCTATCAACACAAGAGAAGCGGATGAAAGAATATTGAAGATGAATTCTCAACAGATGATGCCAAACTCTCTTTGTAGACAGCAAACCCAAAAACAAACTAAACAAACTTAAACTCTTTTTAAAACTGTTAAAACATTCTCTCTTTGGTTAATGAGAACTGAGATCAATGGGGTATTATAGCCTCCAAGAACCTCAGCCAAAACCCCAAACCAAATGACAAAAATAGCCCAGCAACGGTAAGAAAAATAGCCGTTGAAACAGAACTGACACGCGCGGCGGTCGACCAAAATATTCCGGCTCGACCGCGAACCAGATCTGAAACTGAGAATACAAGCGAACTGCGTCGCGTCGACCGGTGCGGTCGACCGATGGAAATTTCGAGCTATCGGTCGACCGCACCAGTCGACCGACAAACTCTCTGCTGCCCACTGACTAAATAACATAGGTCCGGTCGACCGGTGCGGTCGACCGAGAACTGATATATGAAAATCTGATTTTGAAAACTGTTTTTCTGATTTTAAAACCCTGTTTAAAAATATCAAATAAATTCCAAAAAATGTAAAACTTTGGGGAATGATTGTAGACATGATAATAAACATGCTACAACAACTGGTTTCCAAAAAGGACTTCCCAAATGAAAAATATCATCATTTTACAGAATAGTCCAAAACATGAAAATGTAAACATATGAGTTTGATGTTTTGACCTAAACCAACTTTTGAAACTTTACACAATGATTATGTAAACTTAATAAAATATGTATATGATTATTGTTAAGTCCAAAAACTAAGAATATGATATTTTCACAAATACATTAGAGAATGAAACATAGGAGTATGTATATGAAAATATATTTGTTTCATATCTAAGTAGATAAACCAAATCACAATAATAAATATGAAATATGTAATTTCATATTTATAAACATGAAAACCAAAACTTGTGTTGTATATATATGTGACTACATATATATACAAGGAAACCAATAAATGTGTGTGTATATGATATTGAGCTTAACGTACTTAACACACATAATATAAAATCTAAACTAGATTACCTAAGCTTGATCTTGATCTTCATTGTAGCTCAACTTGGTACACTGTGCGGATGAAGCTGAACTTGGATCTTGAACTTGAATTGCATAAGCTTCACCGACATTCCGCCAACCTCCTTTGGATATGATCGTTGAAGCTCTATTCCATCCATCCTCCAACTAGTTGTTTGTCTATAATGAATAGATAACACAAGCACTAGACAAACAACATTAGTTGTAAATTATTTGTTAAACATCATTAAAATAAGAAGGCTAATAATCTCCCCCTTTTTGATGATGACAAACAATTTACGAAAAGAGATATATGCATGAAAGGAAATGAATATACAAATTGTAATTCACATGCATATAAACAAACAAGATAGATATACTCACAATATTTCTCCCCCTTTAACAACATCAAAAAGGGGAAACCAACAAGAAAGAAGAGAGCGAAAGCTCCCCCTATCAATAAGCATAGGTGAGTATCAAACAAGTATGGGGATTGTTCCCCCTATCAAAATGTCATATAGAATATATGCAATAAAGATCATGGCAAACATATGTGAGCAAGCATAGATAAGAGCATGCTAAAAAATTTACTCACATACATGAGGATAATGAGAACATATATAAAAATACCAATATGAAAATAGTGTCTCATATCAAAGAACATAAAAACATGTATAATAGTAGATTTATGAAATTAAAAGAAAAAGAGCATGAGAATCATGCAAAATGTTTTCAAATAAAAATGAATCAATCAAATGAAATCATAAATCAAAATTTAAATCATAAAACCAAATCATCATTGATTTTAAAAAAAAATCAAGAGAGGCAACCATATCTAGCTCTTGAGCTAGTATCAACCCATATGAAAATTTTAGCATCCGGTAAACAAGATTTGGGAATAAACACCCAATAATCCGGGGGGTTATATAAATACAAACCTCTCATCAAAAATACAAACCTCTCATCAAAACAAAATTAATAATCATGAAAACAAAAGAATTTGATCAAAGAAAAATTGTTTTCATAACCAAAAATCAAAACAAAATTAATAATCATGAAAACAAAAGAATTTGATCAAAGAAAAATTGTTTTCATAACCAAAAAATTTTAAAACATAATTTTCAAAACCAAGAAAGGAAAAAAGAAAATTACTAAAGTACTTGGTTTTAAAAATCAAATTTGTTTTGGTACCAAGAGATTTAGGGACATGACCCCTATCTTTTAAGCTCAAAGCCCTAGGGTTATGAACCTTTTTGGACATATATGGTGCACTAACACGGTCAAAGCAATATTCATTCAAATGACCCTTCCGATTGCAATACGTGCAATGAAAGAGATCCATTTGTTTTTGTGGACCATTAGCTCGTGCACGGGAAACATTTGCAACCATAGATGATCTTTTAAGATTATTTTGCAAATGTGAAACACAAACATCACATTTAAACTTTTGTGGTCTTTTAAAATCATTTGGCAAAAGTGAGGTCTTTTTCAAATCATAGCAAAATTTTACCAAATGGCCAAAACGTCCACAAAGATCACATTTAAACACATTAGCATGCTTATGATGAACACTAGGTGCATGTGTGTGTACATGTGATG